GGGTAGTAATTTATTAGTAAGTGTTTAAGGAAGCTGGTTAAACTCTTTCACTTTTAAATTATTATTTAAGGTAGAATACGAACACATTTCAGAATAAAAAACCCCTCTGGTTCTAAAAGACAGACAGGACTGGCCTTGATAAATAGTAGTAATGCTCCACATCTGTCCTTCTGGAAAGGCTTACTTGACGGGGATATCACTGATGGTGAAGTGGGTGTCAGCCCCTGATCACAGCAGCTCCCAGGTAGACCTCCCTAGCCCCCCGACTTGGCCACTGCCATCACACAAGTTATGCAGCATCGTAAAAGGACGTTATCCGTTTTCTGCATTAAGTCTACTTATCGCCATGAAATTACCTCTCCAGGCAGATCCCCTGCCTTTCTTCAGCCTTCGATCCGTCTGACCACCAGCCATCAGGTCAGGGTGTTAAATGCTCTGAGATACCTAGGAGACAAGTTATCTGGAGAAGGAAACAAAACACATTTTCTTTAGTAAGTAGAGCATAATAAGAAAAATTTGGATTAGAGAAATGGGCTCTAAATTTATTTGAGACTCACAATCCACGATATGGAAACACTGCTTTTGTGCCAGGTGGCAGCAGTCAACACGCTGCAGGATCCCCTCTGACATCGGTGGAGCTTGCTGGTGGGTCACGGTGGCTCCGGCAGGGCTTACTGGTGGTTCACTAGCTGTTCCGCTACTCCACTGGCTGGGTGGCAGTCGTAAGGGGTAAGAGCTGAAGTTAGGTTCAGTTTTAGGACTTTTTAAATAGATGATTTCAAGAATATTGGATGGGATTATACCTTTCAATGAACTGATGAGAGCAATTGCAGACAGATGAAAGAATGCTATAGATATTCTATAAAAGCCTTTATAACAGGAAAGAAGACGCTCCGGCTCTGAAGGTGTTTATACACACCCATGTGAACACGGCAGCCCTGAGCTCCGGTCGTCATTCTGTGAAGATCTCCACATTTAAAGTGTGTCCACACTTTCGAGGCAGGGGCAACGGTGGGGCAGCCTGATGACCCCCTTTCCTCCGGCCCTGTGATCTGCCTGCTGCAGCCTTCTCCTGATGTGTCCCCAAAGCACTGGTTTGTCGTCTCCCTAGTGGTTGAAGGCTTATATTCCTGTATCATTTCATCATACTTTGATATAATGTCTTCCTTAAAAATGACTGTGGGGTCTGTTTGCATCGTCTGCCCTCTGAAAGTGTCCTTTAAAAAAAAATCAACTCTTAATCCAGAAATAATAATGCAGAACATTCCGGGAACCGGTCCTGATCCACAGCTCTCTAATCCGAACACGTGCCTCTCAAATCCTCTCGTGCGTCCAGGCCTGGGAAGCCGCAGCACATCCACTCTGAGCCGTGTTAATCCAGCTTTGTTTATTAAGCTTGTGGATGTCCTCAGATACGGTGGATGATCAGATGCACAAACTCCTTCTCCTTGCTCTGTTTGAAGAAAGCAGCTCAAAAGGTGACCTGCTGTTGGGAAGGACTTTGCAACTAGTTTGAGAAACTGGCCACACTCTCTGTAGGTGAATAGAAGACTTCTTTTAAAAGCACATTCATGTCCTCTATTTCATTTAGTCTCCTAACAGTCTGAGAACAGTTGTCTCGGCTTTGCCAACAAGGGAACAGTGAGAGATGAGGGACTCCAGGTACAAAAGCCAACCTGGCTCAGTCGACCGTGGGCCTGTCCACGCGAGTCTTCTTACCCCGAGTCAGGGATATTTTCTTCTTTTGCTTTGGCAGCTTTTAAACTCCTCGAACTTGAATAAATGAAAGTAGCAATCGCATGATAGTGAAGGACAGAAAAGTGTAAAAGAAAAAAAAAACAAGAACAAAATTAAATTCAGATGTTGGTTAAAAAAAAAATCAGTCCTGAATTGATGGGAAACCAAGATGTGGGGGGACTTCACCTCAGATACTTGAGCTAGGAGAGAGCGAGGGGGAGAACGAAAAAGGTCACAGCTGCTGTGGTGGCCCTGGGTAATCCGGCTCGGGGAGGCTGAGGCAGGAGGCCTGAGCAGCTTATCCTCATGGAGAAAATGAAGCTTTAGGAAGGGTCCGTGGAGCTCAGTGGCAGCACTCACCCAGCACGTCAAGGCCTGGGTGTCCCCAGCACCACATCGCTCAGGGAGCTCACCTTAGCTGGGTACTGGGTCCTCCTGGGCCGTCAGAACCAGGGTCTCCTCTTTCCAGAGCCGCCCCTGCCTTTGTTTCCAGGGTGAGGGGCTGGGGAGGAGGGCTCCTGGACAAGCACATGTAAAGACAGTGACTCTTCATTCCTCGTTTTTCCCACAAAAATAGACAATTGCATACATGTATTCCCCCCCCCCTTTTAATTCTAGAACTAAGGATTTAGGGTTTGGCCGTGATAACTACTCAGGTTCTTCTCACTTTCCATTATGGATTATATCTTAATCTTGGTGACAGTGACCTTAAGTGGCTGGAATAGCCTGTTGATATTTTGGGAGTTCAAAAATAAAATGTGTCCTCACTGGACCAGGAAAGACGTCTACAACTGGGCTACTCAAAGTATGAGCTCTGCCTTGGCAGAACCTGTCCCAGAACTCACCCAGACCCCCTGAGCCTGGGTCCGCTTCCTATGGGAAATCTGGGCGCGTGTGGGCACAGGAAGGACTGGGAAGCACTGGTCTAGGCCATTCCTCTGCTTAGGCAGAAGGTCCCCTCCAGGGGGAAGCTCTGGCCGCAGGCCTGCGCTGCTGCAGCCAGACGTGGGCGTGTCTTACGCAGGAGAGGCAGGCCTCCTGCCTGTGCTCCGTCCTCCCAGGACGGCTATGCCCATGCCTGCCCCTGAGCTCCACCCACGACGGTAGGACATAGTTCCACACTCTGACCTTATAGTAAGCTCAGCCGTTCTAACATTGTCCCAAACATCTGTACCTGGCTTTGTATTCACCTCCGTGGTCACTTGGTGAGCTGGCTCCCTGAGAGTGGTGGGGGTCAGTGAGGTGTTTTCAGTTCCATCCGATGGGAGCCTCCCTCGTGGCTCTAGGGCTGGCGGTCAGCCCTGCGACTGCCCAGGCACGGGTGGCACCCACTTCACCTTGGGGACGTCACGTGCACAGTTAGAAGATGGTCTGTGGACCGCGTGCAGCTGTCTTTGCAGACTCGGGTCTCACAGGGCAGGAGCTGCCAGCGTGGAAGGGCCTGGCTGGGAGCAGGGAGCAGAGTGCGAGGATGCCGGGACACCCGGTGGCAGAGTGGGTGGGGGGACCCCGCCTGCCCTGGACTCCCCCGGAGGGGGTGGGAGGCCACTGACCTACTTTGAGCAGAAGAGTGAAACGGGTGGTTGTGACTCAGGCCGCAGGGTCAGTAATACAGACCAAGGGGAGAGGCTGGAGTGACCGGGGGGCGGGGGGCAGCTAGGCGAGCCGCCGAGCTAGGATGACTTGAGTATTGGGCTGGGCTGGGGGAGAGCAGAGGATTGGCAGGATTGACAAGATGGTCACAGCACCAGGAGACGGAAAACCGGGTTAGCCTGAGACCCTGGTCTAGTAATGGAGGGACTGCACCCCAGCAGGGGGCGTAGGGGCACTGATTTTCCTTCCTTCCTTCCTCCCTCCCTCCCTCCCTCCCTCCCTCCCTTCCTCCCTCCCTTCCTTTTTGGTACCAGAGATTGAACCCAAGGGCACTTTACTACTGAGCCACATCCCCAGCCTGTTTTATTTTATTTTATTTATTTATTTATTTTTTTGAGACAGAGTCATGCTAAGTTGCTGAGGCTTTGAACTCGAGATCCTCCAGCCTCAGCCTCCTGAGGCGCTGGGATTACAGGTGTGTGCCACCAAGCCAAGCTCACATGCTGATTTTCACTCAGGTCGGACTCCAGCTGCCCTGTGGGGAACTTCTGCCACATTTTAAGCCTCAGTGTGGTCCCTGCTCCACCCACAGTCCTGCCCTAAAGATCTTCTGTTGGAGGAAGGAATGGGGATGCTAGGACTGAGCCCAGGGCCTTGTTCCTCTAGGCACACAACCACCACTGAACCAGCCCCCAGCCAGATGGATTTTCCCACAGGAACAAGAAGAAACATAAAGTACGCATAGATCAGGTGAGCTAAGCCGAGCCCATGAGCCACACAGTCTGGCTTCCTAGAGGACGGATCCTGCCTCCGTGGCCTCTGGGTTCCTGGGGGGATTTGCAGTAGGCACTTAATAAACAGGTGGGACTTCCTGGCAGTGCACACACAGCCCCAGATAAGAGACCATCTAAGTAAACACCAGGCTGCCGCCATCCGAGGAGAGTCGCTGCGGTTCGTAGGTTCCTAGCTGTTTCGCAGTCTCCTGCGGAGAGTCAGGCAGTCCCTTGCTCTGCGGGAACACTGCCCTCCCTTCAGGGTGGCATCTTGTCAGATTAGCCCTTAAGCCACCACCTCCACTCTCCTTCCCTCTAATGCCCTGCTGGCCTCTGGGACGAGCTAAAGGGCCAGGGGCCTCTAATCGTCTTTCATCTGATCATGGGCCTGAGAGCAGCTGGTGTCCTCCTGGGCTTGGCTGTGGCCACTTGTTCTTCTCCTGGTGAGATGCCGGAGCCGCGGTGAGCCAGGGCTGTCCTCTGGCCCCGGGGCCCCCTTGGTGGCTGATGGGTGCAGCAGATTCCCAGGTGTGAGGCCTGGGTGGCCGAGGTCTGTCCTCCCTGCCTCCCTCTGTGTCCTCGCTGGGCTGGTTGGAAGTCCCTTCTCATCTGTGCTGAGCCCAGAGGGGCCTCCTCCCCCACCTCCTGCACTTACCTCTGCCTCTCTGGCTGTGGGGATCTCCTCCTGTGGCCTCCTGGGGTTGCTGGCCTGCCCACCGTCTCTACCCACTGGTGCAGGCTGCAGGAGCCCCAGGACCCTGCACCGGGCACCCGGTCGGGGAGCCCTGCAGGCCACCCGATGCCCTTGGAAAGGCCCTGCCGAGGACCTTCAGTGTATTATGTCACAGATCATAAAAGGTTTATCTGGTCAAAGTTCATGGAAGATACGGCCATGTGTTCCTCAGACGGAGGGGCAGAACCCCAGACCAGGCCTGGCACGAAGCAGGGGTGCCGTGAGCAGGAAGGAGCCGACACCGGGCGTGGGTGCTGGCCAGGGGAAGGGGAAGCCTTTCCTCTCTCAAGGTGTCTCCTGAGACAGGTGGAACCGGAGCCAGGTGCACTGTGATGGGCGGTGGAGAGCTGGGTCCTCTTAGAGCTGTCCCGCCACCTCCCCTGTGCCGCCTCCAGACCTGACCTTGCTGCTACTGACCCTCAGCCCCGTGGCGTCAGCACTGTGTCCTGCGGCCATCGGCCACCCTCTCCGTGAACACTTGCTCTGTCATCACCACGTAAGGAGAGGTCACTGGCTGTCCCCATGAGGAGCACTGTTCCTAGAGCCACGTCCACCCCTGGCCTGCCAATCACTTGTCACACCTGCAGGGAGACGGCAGTGGACCTGTCTGCCCTCTTGTCCTCTGAGCCCCTGCCTTTCTCCCTCTGCCTCTCAGTCACCTCCTGTGGCCCGTGGCTGTCCCTCTGCTGGGGCCTGAACGGTGTCCAGTGGCCTTGTCACGGGGCACGTGACAGGTGTGGCTTGTGGGTTTACTTAGCCATCTGTTTGGATGTACTTTAAAGAGATCCAGCCACATATTCCAAATCATTTGACTTTCTCATCAAATTTCCCTCGATGACTTCTGTGTCTGCCTTCCTCCGCTTCCTGCTCGGTCCCCACAGACCACCACTTTCCAGAGCTAGAACACACTCGAGCCTCGTGCCTCAGACGGGAGGCCCACCTTCACTTGGGGTAAGAGTCAAAGAAGCAACTGTGTGTGCATGGGTGTGTGTGTGTGTGTGTGTGAGGGAGAGAATGTGTGTTGTGTGTGCATGTGTGTAAGAGAATGTGTGTGTACACATGTGTGTAGGTGAGTGTGCACGTGTGTGTATGTGAGAATGTATGTGAGTGTGTATGTGAGTGTGCACATGTGTATATATGACTGTGTGTGAGGGTGTGTGTATATGAGAATGTGTGGTGTATGTGTGTGTATGAGTGTGTGTGAGGGTGTATGTGAGAATGTGTGTGCACGTGTATCAGAGCTTGTGTGTGTGATTGTGTGAGTGCACGTGTATGTGTGTGTGTGTGTGAGGAGGTCCCTCAGTACTGAGCGTGACACTGTCACAGTGAGCACAGGTCTGTCTCGCCACGTCTGTGCAGACAGGTGTGGGAATACCTGGGTGGAGACGTGCAGGTGTGGGTGCACTTTCCTGTGTGTGCAGGTCTCAGGGTTGGGGATTGAGCTGCGGTCCAGCCCTCTTTGGTTGGGTTCTGAGGCAGGGTCTCTCTGGGCTGCCCGGGCACCTGGCCTGGCTGCCCTCTGCCCCGGCCTCTGGGTGGCTGGATGGCGGCCCTTCTCTGCTCCTCAGGAGGGCACCTCGCTCCTCCCGCTCTGGGCTGACAGCTCTCTTGATAAAGGGTGGGTTGGACAGGCAGCTGCCCACACGTCACCTGGTGCCACTTCTGCCAGGTGAGGCCCTCTGCTTTGTCCCCTCTGTTCTCACTCGTGCTGGGTCCTTTAAACATGTGCGGGTGCCCGTGGCTGACGCGCTGTCACATCCGACTCTGTCACTCTCCGCTCCTCTGCGGAGGCTGGTGGCCTCCCTCTGCCGTGGGTGACTGCAGTCCCTTTGTCCCATGGCTCTGCTTTCAGGAAGATGAGGTATCTTCCCTCTGTGACGTCTTTCCCTGACATCCATTTCCTACCGGACAGACAGACAGCCTGGATGAGCTCAAGGTCCTCTGGGGCTTCATAAAGAGAAGGGAATCCCACTCTGGCAACTGCTGTCCAGGAGGCTCCTCCCACTGAAGATTGCTTCACTTCCTCATTTTGGTCTCAGCATAAGTGTCGTTTCCTCCACCAAACCTGGAAGTGTTCCGTCTGAAGTCACTGTTTCAGGCTGGCCGTGACTTCTGCACAGGGGGAGCAGGCGGACCTCTTTTCCCACTATGGTGCTGTGTGTTGGCTGTGACTCTCCTGAACACACACTTCACGCTGTGCCCTGGGGAGGCCTGGCGTGCAGCAAGGGGACAGTACACAGACGTCAACTAACAAGGCGCAACGTGCTGACTTCCTGGCTGGACGTGCGTAGACCATTCGTCCCTGGGACAGTTCTTTGGACTCAGTTTGCAGTGTCGACCTGGCGGCTGACAAGTTGGTGTTGGAGACTTCCTTGTTCTCTGGACTTTAGCTCTTTGGCATTCTACAGAATCTACAGAGTATCTTACTTCACTTCTTGCCTGAAATAGCTATTTTTAAAAATTCAGAATTTTAGGGTGCTGTATATCACGGGGACTGAGCCTTTGACGGCCAAGAGGGTTGTAAATTCTCCCGGCAGCTCCGCGTCCCTCTTGGTTCAGTGGAGAACAAAGTGTGCAGGTTGTGAGCCACTGTGGGGAGCGCGGCAGGTCACCAGGAAACAGGGGTCGCCAAGCAAAAGCAAGAAAGGAGCCCCACAGGGCCCCTCCCTCGGGGCCAGGTGCTCCTGGGGGTGGCTCCTGCAGGGTCTTCCGCTCCCCCACTTCACCCTGGTGCGCTGAGGCCTTTGGCAGGGGGAGGCCGAGCAGGATGTGCGCACTCTGGCTCTGGGACTTCCTCCCCAGGCGCGTGTCAGCGGATCCGCCTATCCTGGCCGTCCGTGGTTCTCGGGCGGCTCTTCGTTGGCAGCAGTGCTGGTGGGAACCCAGGTCACTCACTTTAAAATAGCATCCTCTTTCAAGGAGCTCTCATCTGCCGGCTTGGCCACGTTTTAAAGTTAGAGTGCCTGAGCTGGCCCCTCGGTGGGCCGGGCACCACAGGACGGCGTGCGTGACAGGGTGGAGACTCTGCACCCTTGGCAGGTTCTGATTGAATGTTGCTTCTCTGTATTAATTTAATATCCTTTTGGAATGAGAGTCAGCAGTCGTTCAGGGGAGAGCTTGAGAAGGTTGGAGGTGCCGCAGTGGACCTGTGTGTGCCGGTCACTCACCCAGAGATCACAGGGAGACGAGCCCTGGAGCTCTTCCTGCCGAGCTGCCAGCCTGTGGACAGCTTCAGAGCACAGGGCTGTGCCTGGTGCTGGGAGTTGGGGGCCCACTTGGCGGGTGCCAGAGCCTGCGCCTGGGGCCATCCAGGAACCTCCTGTCCCCTGCTGGAGTCCTCTCCCCAAGTGTGGAGCCGTCAGGTCACAGACTGTTTCCCTCCCTCACATTTCAACCATTGCAAAGGATATTTTTAGATTTTTTTCCACCAGCCAGCTAACTGCAGTCAACATTCTCATTGTTTGCAAAGACAACAGAACGCAACAGCCTCTGGGACGCCATTTCTGCTGTAAGGGGCACCCACACCCAGGCTGGCAAAGGGTAGCCGTCTCTGGCGCAGGGCAAGGACCCTGCTCACTGGGTCGCTGCAGGCTGGGGTCTTCCTCTGACCAAGGCTGCATCGGTTCTTTACAGCGAGATGAAATGCTTCAGATTTATTATCCGATGAGGCCTGCTTGATTCAACCAAAAACAAATACCCTCAAGTTTAAAAATAGAAGTGAAAAAGACTAAACATTTGCATTTAAAGAGGAAAAGAAAATGACAGAAATCTCTGTGGCAGACCATTCCTTGAAATTGTCCTAAGTTATAATCATGCACTTTCCACTGTCTGTAATTAAACATTAGATTTCATTTATTCCAGATGCATTTGCTGCAAGTAATTCAGAATACTCCTCCTTCTTTTTGGCCATGTACATTTATTTCAAGTCTGTGGCCTGGGCACCATCGGGGGCCCTGGTAGTCTTAAGGGAATCTCCATGTGTTGTTTCTTCTCATTGTCTACTTGGTGGACCACGATTATACACATGAATTTGTCCTTTCTAACATGCAGTGTCAGTGCACACTCGAGAACATCTTTAACAGGTCTGCTTGTGTCCTGCAAGGAACTGGCAGGGCCTTGATGTCAATATTAGAGAGGGGAGGGAATTGCTTTTACTTGGCCGCTGCTCTGTGGAGCCCGCGGCTTTGAGAAAAGCCTGGCCTTCCTCTCTGTTCACAGAGCCTTGGAGCAGTTTACTTACCATATTCGCAAGTCCCTTGCACTGGTCAGGTGGTATCACTAAACAGCAGAATATAAATATTAAGCAAGTGCTTTAGTGGTTTGAAATTCCCTTACTTTAAGATTTTCAATGAACTTTTGTGTTTAGGTCCATTGAATATATTTTTAAAGTACTAGAAATTATCCAGCCATTTATACTTATTCACTGTTTACACAGTTCAGTTTCATGTAATAAATTTTTGGTGTTCACTAAGGAAATCAGAGGTCTAATCAAGATTGGTAAATTGACTACTTGACCTGTGTAATTACAGATAAATTTTGCAGCTACACACCCTGGAGCAAGTTTCTTGCTTTTAAGTATATAGTGTTTTTGTGGCAGTAGAGGGAGTCGTCCTGGATGCTTGGTTGATTCAGCGGTGAGTTACTCTGGTGCCTTTAAGTTTTCCTTCTGTTTACCACGTGACTGTTTGACAGTTCACAAGCATTTCCACAGGTTGGTGAGAAAGGGGTGTGCCAGGTCAGTTTGACCACTTATTTTAACTGCGTGAAGGTTCCATGGATGGAGAAGTTCACATTGAAGCCCAAGCTCTCTGGGTTATTTGTAAGTTTCATTAACCACTGTTTGCTCTGCCCCTGTGCCTTGCAGACCAAAACATCTGTCCATTGGCATTTTCTTTAAGGTCCTCCAGGTCCTCCCTACAGTCAGACTCTGAGGAGTCCAGCAGAGAAGGCAAAGAAGGGGGAGGAGAAATCCCATCACCTGCTCCTTAAGCTTTAAAAAGAAAGCCCTTCTGCAGATGCCTTGGGCATTCGCCTCTTGTTGTTCCCCAAGAGCGCAGCGACACCCCTTCTCACCCTTCAAAGGTCCTCAGGACCACTGCTCCTTGTCTTCACTCCCACATCAGCTGGTCACACTCATGATGTCTCTGGATAGTCTGACCTGAACAATGTGTGTATGTGTGAGTGTGTGAGTGTGTGTGTGTGTGTGCCTGTGTATGCACATGAACCTTACTACTAAATCTGCTGCAAGACATTCACTTTGCGGCACACAAACCCTCTCCCCCTCCCTCTCTCGTGGAATGCATGGCTAATTTGGGGTTACCTTATTTCAGAAACAATTTCTCCTTTTAACTGGGGACATGATGGCATTCCAAAGAGGAATCATCTCACATAATTTATTTTCCAAAGGTGGAGGTACATCAGATCATTAGGATGCGTCTTTTCTCTCTTCAGCTTTGGTAGCACCTGAGGTGTGTGGCAGGTGTGAAGAGCTTTGACAGTATAGACAATGTCAGAATTCTAGGTGGCCTCTGTAGCATGGTCCACAGAACCTTCCAGGCCGGCGGGAAGCTGATCTTCTCAGCCTTGGCTGACAGCACGGGTGTTCTGGGCTGAGTGACCCTGCAGCCGAGCTGAATCAGTGTCCGGCGCCACCCTCCCTCTGCTTCTGTCTGAGCTGCAGCCTGGATAGTGGACAGACAGAAGGTTTCCTGCTGTACGGAGACGTTTCCTCCATTACCCACCAGATGGCCTTGGAAAAAGAATCACGCTGAAAGTGAAATTCTGGTTAATGTTATTTAATTTAAACTTGCAATCTGGCTGAGCTCCGGATACCTACAAGTAATAAAAAGAAACCAGAGGCCAAGTTATGCCATTAGAGGGCACCTGTGTAATCTTAGAAGTCTGTTCACATAGACCTGCTAAACCAGGCTGGTTCTTAGGAAGGATAAATTGTTTATGTAAAGTGACCGATTCTTAAACTGAATGTCTGAGAGAGAACATTTTATTGGCAGGGAACAAAAATCTATAAAATCTTAAAACCACCATTTAAACAATCTCTGAGTAAAGCTTCCATTTTGTACAGTGAATACAAGTTACAGAAATATACACGGTGTGTCTGCAAAGTAATTTTTGGTTAGTTGTGTTTGGAGCTTATTTTAAACGCATTTTGTTTAAAAAAAAATCCTGCCTGTATACTGATGGAGTTGAACAAATGATTGAAGTTCCCTAATGGTTGAATTTGTTTTCCTCAACAGTTGAATGTTATTAGATGACATTTTGAAAACTGCAATGTGGTGAAATTGAATTCTTGTGTTTCAAGGTCCTGCTTAATCCTGAACACTTTTCAGAAAAATATCTACTTTGCCTGTATTGTCCTTTAATTAAGATGGTTTCAGAAACAAAAAGTGTGACCTGATGGAATTTTCAGTTTAGAGAATATAATCTTTTTTGTTTAATTGGAACCTTATAGTCATACACAGTTGCTGGGTTCATCCCGGCAAACTCAAGCATGCGTGGAATTGATTCCAGCTCACACTCCCTCCCTCCCCTTCCCCATCTCCCCTGTCCCTCATCCCCTCCCTCCCTCATCCCCTCCCTCCCTCATCTCCTCCCTCCCCTGTCTCCTCCCTTCCCCACCTCCTCCCACCCCATCTCCCCCCTCTTCACCTCCCCCTCCCCCATCTCCTCCCCTCCCCCGTCTCCCCCTCCCCCATCCCCCCATCTCCTCCCTCCACTCTGCTAGACTTCCTGATGCTCTTCTATTTATGTTTGACTGGTTCTTTTTACTTATGCATAAAGGTGAGATTCCCTGTGGTGTATTTATGTATTTATTCATACAACATGGGTTTTGAAGAGTTAGTTCTGCATTGCCTCCTTACCCTGCCTCCCTCTGCCACTCACCTCATTCTTCTGCGTTACTGGTCTTCCCTCTATAGGGCCCTCTCCTTCCTCCTGTCCTTTATTTTGCTCTAGCTTCTGCATGTGGGAGAAACACTTGACCTCTACGTTTCACTTAGCACGAGATTCTCCATTCCCATGCCGTAATTCCGTTCTTTCCCTGTTACGTGTCTGCACCACGATTTCTTCTTAATCCACCCATCTACTGATGGCACCTGGCTGGTTACACAGTCTGGCTGCTGTGGACATGAGGTGGCTGTGTTGCTGTAGAATGCTGACTGGTTTTTTTGGATAAATACCAAGGAGTGGGACTGGGTCCTGTGGTGGTTCCAACCCTAGTTTCTTGAGGAATGAGGGTGTGCTTTTGGTGGGGGAGGCTGGACACAGGCACCAGAACCCGGAACTTACTCCTTCTCTCTAACTTTCATGGTGGCTTGCAGCCACGCCCACCCTTAGATCTGACAGCTTTGACCACTCTGCTAAGGTTCCCTGAAGATCTGAAGGTTGAAAGGCCTCCAAATCCAAACCTTCTGAGCACCAGCGAGCCACAGTGGAAAATTCCACACTATAAAACTTCATCTCACTCACAAAATCATTTAAAATATTGTATAATATTACCTTCAGACCACACATATAAGGTGTATAAGAAGCATAAATCTCGTGTTTAGGATAGGGTCCATACCCAAGATACGTCATTATGTATGTGCAAATATCCAAACTCCAAAATAAAAATAAATCCCAAATCTAAAACATGCCTAGTTCTAAGCATTTCAATAAAGACGAGTCAACCTTACAAACACCTTTGAGAAGTGCCTGGGATGCATGGGGGGTGGGGCTGGGGGCCGTGCTCTGCATCTCCCGTCACCCAGAATCGCTCAGTAGCATTCAGTGCTAAGCAGCTGTGTGGGGATTGTGCAGACTGGATGGGGTTTACTGGGCTTTCAAGGTCATTTATGATGAGTAGTTCATATTTTCACCTCTGTAGTGTTTACTATGGGCCCCGACCTGCCTATGCTGCTTTCCCATGTTTAAAATAAGAAAAATAGCCGTGCCCACCTCAGAGGGTCTTGGAGGGCATTGGGTGCACACCACGGGAGCAGTCAGAAGGGTGCCTGGCGGGCGGTGTGTGCACGGTGACATTCACTAACACATCGTCTCACAATTCATCCCCGGCAACTGGCTGATGTAATGAGAGGAAGTTCTCCAGAGGGCCGCTGAGGAACTGGGGCCTCTGTGGCTGGCATTCCTCGGGTCTGGACCAAGTGAATTCCTGGGGCACTGGTCCCCTTAGCTGGCCAGTCCTGCAGTGGGCAGCCATGTGGACAGAGTGGAGCCCCTTGAGGACGGCTGTCCTGGAGTGGCCAGGGCAGGGGCTGCCCTGACCCATCTAGTCCACAGTCCCGGGAGCACAGAAGGCTACCCCTCCTAACCGTTTCCAAAGAGACTTCTCTTTAATTGTCCTCCTCTGCAGTCAGGAGGCGGCATTGTGGGCATGGTGCGTGTGACACAGAGAAGGGATTTTGTTGCGCCAACACAGGTATTTTTATGAACATGTGATTAAGGGTACAGACGGGAGCTGAGGGGGCAGAGAGGTGGTGAGCAGAGACCCACCCAGCTCAGCCCATCACATCCTCTGCTTAGAGTGGTCAGCTGAGCGTGGCCACCTCTTGTGGACGGGACCCTTGCTGATGGCTGTAGACACCAGGAGCTCCCACTTACACCTGCCCTGAGTACCCAAGGGAGAGGCCATTTCTGGGGGGCCAGGCAGGAAGGGTCGTGCTCAGTCTCAGCGGCTCCGTCCCTCTGTAGAGTTCGGGGATCTCTTGTCCACCACTGAGCCCTGGCCCCGGCCCTTTGCAATTTTCTATTTTGAGACAGGGTCTTGCTAAGTTGCTGAGGCTGGCCTCAAACTTGTGATCCTCCTGCCTCATCCTCTCAAGAAACTGGAATCACAAGTGTGCACCACTGTGCCCAACTTTGCACATTTTCATCTTAAAGACAAATGCATCCTTTCAAAAATATTTTAAGTTGTCTGAATCTATTTTTGATAGCATTCAAAGAAAGGCAAAATTAGAGTCAAATGATGTGTTAAGTAGAGGTTAATTAGTTGTATCTAAAATAGCGCCTATATAAAATAAAACTGGCATTCACCTCATCTCAAATTGCTGCAAATGTTGATTTGCATTAGAATTTTTCACTATTTAAATTACTAAAGTGTAGAAATACCACATTTCTCTAATGATTGAATTCCCTGATGTGTTCTAAGTCAGAGTGGTAAGGAAAACCGTTCCTGGCGTAGCTCTCTCTCTGAGAGCAAACCTACCAGCTCCTCAGGGGCACAAAGCCCTGAGCAGGCACCTGATGAGAACTCACCTGGTTGGGGCTCCTGACAGCCCCCCCAGCTGGGGGTGAGGTGGGGAGAGGTGGGCTTGCAGCACCCCTGCGCAGCAGTAGAGTGGCCTGAGACCTTGGTGGGAGTCGGTGAACTGCTGACGGGTAACTCTGTGAAAGTCCTTAGGACGTGAGGCCTCGAAGGCCCGGCTGCCCTGCGAGTGGAAGCCAAGCTGATTTCTAACGTGGTGGGGCTTTACATGTGCCTGCGGCGTGGGAGAGGCTGGTGGCCTATACGCTTAGGCGTCATTAGTAACTTGCCTTGTGATTTTGCACAGATTACCCGTGAGGGAGTTGGAGGTCATAATCTCTAACAAGTTCTGATATGAAAATCCGGTCATGGAATAAGCAGAAGACTATTCAGAATCCTCAGTCAAGGGTTTTGTACAGGGATTGAGTCCAGGGTGCTTTACCGCTTTTCCACATCCCCAGTGTTTTTGTTTGTTGGTTTTTTTGGTCTTGAGACAGGGTCTGCCTAACTTGCTGAGGTCCTTCTGCCTCAGCTTCCCAAGTAACTGGGATTACAGGCACGTGCCACTGCACCCAGCTCAAGTTTCCTTTTGTGTGGGGAGTACCAGGGGCACTTAACCCCTGAGCCACATCCCCAGCCCTGTTTTGAATTTTTATTTAGAGACAAGGTCTCATTGAGTTGCTTAGGGCCTTGCTAAGTTGCTGAGGCTGGCTTTGAGTTTGAAATCCTCCTGTCTCAGCCTCCTGAGTTGCTGGAACTACAGGTATACGTCCCCACACCCAGCTTCAAATTTTAAGGAAGGATAAAATAATCTGTGTAGTAATTTTCTGGCTTTTGACAGGTCTCTGTGACTTATGTTGAAAATGATAGTTCAACCACATCAACAAGTTGTAACTTGACTGCCAAGGTGAAGTCCAGCTCACCTCTGGTAGCTTTGTGTCAGCTACAAGGGCTGACCCTGAATGACCGCCCTAGTTGAAGCGTTACACGTAGACTGAAGCCACCTGTAATGATCACCGTGGCTTCTGCCATAATTGAAGTGGGAAGTTAATGCGTCAAGTGTCTAAAAAATCCTTTGAGCATCTGAAATTTTGGGGAATTCATTCTCAACATCATGAAATAGTTGGGAAAAAGCAGAGGGCAGATGCTTCCAGAGCGTGTGTGCCTTTCGGGGAACTGAGACACCCACGTGTGGCTCAGGGCCACCTCTGTGCTCGCTGCAGGAGGGCGTCGGGGAAGGCTGCCTGCAGAACTAACACGTTACGCCGCCTCTCTGTTGCCAGGATGGTGCTGCTCGGCTGGAGTGTGCTGTGGCTGCTGCTGCCTCTTGGCTCCAGGGCCCAGAAGCTGCCCACTCGAGATGAGGAGCTTTTCCAGATGCAGATCCGAGACAAGGCGTTTTTCCACGATTCATCAGTCATTCCAGATGGAGCCGAGATCAGCAGCTATCTCTTCAGAGACACACCTAAAAGGTACCCTCCCTGCCGCAGCTCTGTCCGTCCGTGAGCTGCTGGGGCCTCCTCCCTAGGGAAGTGCCTTGCAGATCCAGCCTGGATGGTTGCTCCCATGAGAAAGAAGGGTGGCCAACGGTGGGCTGAGGGAGGCCGCTGATCTTTGCTGACCAAGGCCTCCTTTGGGTGGAAGAGGAACCTTGGCACCATTTCACGCTCCAGGAGGATTATTTTCTCATTTTCAGGACTGTCGGATTAAAATGCAGTTCATTGAATATATATGTTTCTTCAAGGGTTTGCATTGAGGTTTACAAGGATTATGTTTGTTTACCAAATATGATCCAATTTTGAGAGAATGAAATCAAACAGTGACTAAAAATTAATACTGTTCATTTCCTTTAGTCCAACATCATCAATAGATTGGGCTCACGTGATAGTTTTAAATATTTCAACCCTAAGAATTTACAGATGTGTGTGCATACATCATATAAATTCTATGTAATAGACCAATTGTTAGGGAAGTGCCACAGACTGAATCACTGCAAACACACCCAAGGCTCAGCAGAAACAGTTCATTGTCAGGAAATCTGACAGTGTTCTCTCTCTGCGCAGAGAGAACGGCAGCAGACCTCCTCTGAACTGCAAGTTTATAAGTCAGAGTCTAGGTTATGCATCGGGGTGGGCTCAGGTGGAGAGCAAGCTTCAAAACCTCAGGGACCACACGCGGCAAGGGGCGGGGGAGCCAGTGCATTGCCACCGGCTCCTGGGGCTGGCGGGCCCCTATACTCGGAAAGGGAGCTCTGTGGTCGGGGCGCAGGAGGGTGTGGTCCGCCTCTGGGTGAGTGGGCTCTTGCAGGAGGGGGCGGGGTGTGGGAGCAGGGTAAGGTGTCTGGGCAGAAGTGGGGTCAGCTTGACTCAGCTTCTTAGTTAACCCTGGTCACGTTAACAGGAAACACGGATTTGATCTATAGTTGCTCACTTTGCCCTCCTCCAGCCCCTTCATAGTTCACCTTGGGGTAATTACATTTCAAAACCAGTTTCTCCTTTGACGCTGTGACACCTCGCCTGGCATTCCAAGAGACAAAACTGTCTGCTTCCACCATGATCCCTTTCCAGATCACGGAGGACGAGGCGCAGCGGTGGTCCTTTTAGTTCAGAGGCAGCCCCTCTGCTGAGAGCCCTGTCCTGTGGGTCACTGGGAGGGAGAGCAGGGGATCGGTTTCCCTGTGGTGACGAGAGGGAGCAGGAGGACGGAAGGTTGGGGTGAATTTGTCCCATGTACTCTGCTCTGGCACCAGTGCCCCATGGTTAATGGAATCCACTCACAGCGGGACGGTTTGGGTACTTCTCCTTGCATAATGCCAGAAAAATTACTTGGTTGTATCTGCTTCTTTGTAAAATAGAACGACGCAGCTGCGGGTATGTGGTTGGTGCCCTCGGTGCAGCCTGGGCGAAGGATCAAAAGTCTGCTCTGCACAAAGTAGGCTGAGCTTAAAATCAAGACTGCTGACCCTTCCCTTCAGAGAGGGGAGTGGTCCATGAAACTCCCGGCTTGTCAGCAGGTCAATCATCTAGCTGTTCTCTCTGGCTGATTGGCGGCTGTTTTACAACTAGCTGTTGTGTTTTTATAGGGTCTTCAGTTTGTTTTCCCTTTGCCCACCCCACCCTCTGGCTCCAAATTCCTCTCTGGACAGTGAGGGAAAAATGCACTTTGACTCAACTCTGTCCCTCAGAGAGAAGGGATTCCGGGGGTGCACGTCCTCAGGTGGACTACTGAGGTGCACACGGTGCTAGGGTTCTCCAGCCAGGTCACTCATCAGTGATCCCCTCACTGGGAAGTGCCCTTCCAGGCCCTGAGCCCGCAGAGGTCTGCTAAGTGCTGGGAAGTGAAGTCTCAGTGGCCCTCTGGGAAAGGGTGTCCTCACAAACTGCAGCAGGTGCCCAGAGAACCAGTGCAGGACCCTGGGGTCCGTGGGAACCTGACCCTGTGTGGGTGGAAAACAGAACAGCCAAGGAAGAGATGGTCTCCAGGAGACACGGGTCAGGCCTCGCCGCAGAGCGGGGAGGGGTCTGCAGGTGAGGCCAGCCCCGGGAGGAAGAGCCTCAACCGTGGAGGAGCGTCCCCCACAGAGGCCCCAGGCAGGAAGCCCCGTGTCCAGGGACAGCGAGGGGCTGGGGCCGTGGCAGAGCGAGGAGGGTCTCGGGAGACCTTGCCGCTCAGGGCCTCGTGCTCTGAGTGAAACAAGCCGCTCGCGGGGGTCTCAGGCCGAGTGGGGGCCGTCCACAGGCTTAGGTGATCGTGCCCCTGGAGGGAGGGAAGGTCCACAGGGTCGCTGGGGTCGGGAGGCCAGCAGGAGGCTCAGGCAAGGGGCGCTGGAGACTTGGCCGGGTGGCCACATTGTGGATCAAGGCGTCAGATTCTGGGTCTGTCTGACAAGTGGAGCCTGAAGTGTCTGCTGATCCATCCTGCCTGGAGGGGAGGAGGACAGTCAGCAGGCTCCACGCCTCTGTCCTGACAGGCAGGTGGTGGGACTCCTCCTTTACTGCCAAGGGGGACTGCAGGGGAAGCTGACCTTGAGGAGAGAACCAGGCTCTGGAGTGGGCGTCTGAGGCCTGGAGTGGGCGTCTGAGGCCTGGAGTGGTCATCTGAGGTCTGGAGTGGGCGTCTGAGGCCTGGAGTAGGCGTCTGAGGCGTGGAGTGGTCATCTGAGGTGTGGAGTGGGCGTCTGAGGCCTGGAGTGGGCGTCTGAGGCCTGGAGTGGGCGTCTGAGGCGTGGAGTGGGTGTCTGAGGTCTGGAGTGGGCGTCTGAGGCCCGGAGTGGGCGTCTGAGGCGTGGAGTGGGCGTCTGAGGCCTGGAGTGGGCGTCTGAGGCGTGGAGTGGGCATCTGAGGTGTGGAGTGGGCGCCTGAGGCCCGGAGTGGGCGTCTGAGGCCCGGAGTGGGCGTCTGAGGTGTGGAGTGGGCGTCTGAGGTGTGGAGTGGGCGTCTGAGGTGTGGAGTGGGCGTCTGAGGCCTGGAGTGGGCGTCTGAGGCCTGGAGTGGGCGTCTGAGGTCTGGAGTGGGCGTCTGAGGCGTGGAGTGGGCGTCTGAGGTCTGGAGTGGGCGTCTGAGGTCTGGAGTGGGCGTCTGAGGCCCGGAGTGCGCGTCTGAGGCCCGGAGTGCGCGTCTGAGGCGTGGAGTGGGCGTCTGAGGTCTGGAGTGGGCATCTGAGGCGTGGAGTGGGCGTCTGAGGTCTGGAGTGGGCGTCTGAGGCGTGGAGTGGGCGTCTGAGGTCTGGAGTGGGCGTCTGAGGTCTGGAGTGGGTGCCTGAGGCCCGGAGTGGGCGTCTGAGGCGTGGAGTGGGCGTCTGAGGTCTGGAGTGGGCGTCTGAGGTCTGGAGTGGGCGTCTGAGGCGTGGAGTGGGCGTCTGAGGCGTGGAGTGGGCGTCTGAGGTCTGGAGTGGGCGTCTGAGGCGTGGAGTGGGCGTCTGAGGCCCGGAGTGGGCGTCTGAGGTCCGGAGTGGGCGCCTGAGGCCCGGAGTGGGCGCCTGAGGCCCGGAGTGGGCGTCTGAGGCCCAGAGTGAGCGTCTGAGGCGTGGAGTGGGCGTCTGAGGTCTGGAGTGGGTGCCTGAGGCCTGGAACTCGCTCTGTGTCTTAGAGAGGATGGTAAGAAGGTGGCTGTACCTTGGATTCAGGTTCAGGTTGACAGGTCAAATCTGTTAGCACACAGGAGGGAAAGCCGATCTGGGTGAGGTCACACGGGGCAAGGGAGACAGAACGGGTGTGAGGGCAGGGGGAGCCAGTGGGGAGGGACTGAGGTGTTGGACAGCAGGTGCGTGGTGAGTACAGAGAGAGCAGGGAGGTGAGGGGTCCTCAGCACTGCCGCCGTGCACAGGAGGGAAACCCCACTTTTCTTTGCCGTGGACCCAGGAAGCAGCTCCTTAGGGCTCACTGCAGCAGGACACGCAGCATTTACAGCTGGGCCACATTGTGATCTTTATTCCCCTTTAAAAACCTTCTGAGGCATTATGCAAACAACCCTCAGGGGAAGACTTTGCCTCGTGTCTTTAAAATTCTGTTTTAAAATCATCAATGCGTTCAATTGAACAGGAAATTTCCGTGATCAAGGAAAGATAGAGGTGCGCCCTCCCACTGTCAGACAGGGGCCTTCATTTTTAAAACTGTCTCTGAAATGTGAGCCTCGTCCACAGAGGTGTGGACAGTAGAACCAGGAGCAAGCGTCTCAGGAGGACAGGTCTGCCACACTGGGGCTTGGTGTCACCCCCTTGTTGGTGGCCACCCAGCTAAGCCCCTGAGACGCAGTCGAGGGTGACGTGAGCGGAGGCTCCTCTGGCTCGCTGTCTTCCCGTTAGGTCTCCTGTACTTGCTGACGGTGCGTCTGGTCTGCCCTTCCCCAGGTACTTCTTTGTGGTTGAAGAGGACAATACTCCACTCTCGGTCACGGTGACGCCCTGCGATGCGCCCTTGGAGTGGAGGCTGGGACTGCAGGAGCTGCCCGAGGACAGCAGTGGGGACAGCTCAGGTGAGCAGCGGCCCTGGTGAGGGCTGGGGAGATGGTCCAGCCAGGCAGCAAGGCACCGGGCTCCCGAGAAGCTGCAGCCGGAGAGGGGGAGGAGGGAGAGGAGGAAGGAGCCAGGAGAAGCTGGCCCCTGTGGCTACCTGCTCTCTCCATGGACGGTAGGCCCCCGGGGGCTTTGAAAGCTACCCTGGCTTGGTTTCTCCCTCAGATGCCATGACTTAACCGCCCTGGGCAGTCCTTCCAGAGTTGGGGAATGTGAAATCTCACACGTCTGGCTTTCAGTCTGCGGTGAGATGGCCAAGGTTCCTTCCTGTGCTGGTGGTCAGGCCTTCATCAGGCCCTGGCACGTGCCAGCAGTGTCGAAGGATGGCCAAGTCAGGTGGCTTTGGTACTCCCGACACATCTGGACACCGAGCCTCAGCTGCTCGGACAGGTACTTGAGTTTCTGGCTTAACTGGGTTGTCCACTCCTGCTGATGACAGTGAGATCGGCGAGCTGAGCCACACCCATGTGCGCTGGCCTTTGGGCAAGCTGACTGATGGTCAGGATCAACTGTCTCTAACAAGTTTGAAGCTCTGGACCTAACAATTATAGGTAACCTAAAAAATTATAGGTGATCTATACCTAACTAGATTTTGTGCTGAAGAAATACGTCCATACAAGCCAAATACTCCATAAGGTTGTATTCATAATGGTCACACAGCAAGCAACCGTATTATTTTTTATGACATCAAATTGAAGGAGGAAAACGGGATGCAAAAACTAGTGGTTCCTCTAGATCCGTTTGTGCATGAGAAGAAACTTACTAACCTATGGAGAAAACAGGAGCCAGTGACCCCAACTGCACTTAGGCACTAGGAGAAGGAGGCGTGGAGTAGCGCACGGCGGTGAAGAGGCGGCTCCCTGTGTCACCTTCTGCACCGCCGCAGTGCTCTGTGAGGAGTGTGCGCTCTCTTTGTCGTGGAGAGCCAGGTGAGAACCGGCAGACCACGTGACCTGTAGCCCCTGCTTTGCTCCTGTCTTGCAGGTGACCCCGAGCCCCTCGAGCAGCAGAGGCAGCAGATGACACACGAGGAAGGCACGGAGCTGTTCTCCTACAAGGGCAACGCCGTGGAGTCCTTCGCCTCCTCCAGTTCCCCCGCGGGTCTGTACCAGCTGGAGCTCCTCTCCACGGAGAAAGACACGCACTTCAAAGTGTACGCCACCACAACTCCAGAGTCGGACCAGCCGTACCCGGAGCTGCCTTACGACCCCCGAGTGGACGTGACCTCCCTGGGGCGCACCACGGTCACGCTGGCCTGGAAGCCGAGCCCCACGGCCTCCTTGCTGAACCAGCCCATCCAGTACTGCGTGGTCATCAACAAAGAACACAATTTCAAGAGTCTCTGTGCAGCAGAAGCCAAGCTGGGGGCGGACGATGCCTTCATGATGGTCCCCAAACCTGGTCTCGACTTTAGCCCCTTCGACTTTGCCCATTTTGGGTTTCCTCCCGACCACCTGGGCAAAGAACGCAGCTTCCTGGCAAAGGCTTCTCCCAAATTGGGCCGTCCCGTGCACCCCAGGCCCAAGGCGGACATTCAGAAAGTCTGCATAGGCAGCAAGAATATCTTCACCGTCTCCGACCTGAAGCCGGACACGCAGCACTACTTCGACGTCTTCGTGGTCAACACCAACACCAACATGAGCACCGCCTATGTGGGCACCTTTGCCAGGACCAAGGGGGAGGCCAAGCAGAAGACCCTGGAGCTCAAGGACGGCAAGGTGACGGACGTGTTTGTCAAGAGGAAGGGGGCCAAGTTTCTCCGCTTTGCTCCTGTCTCTTCCCACCAGAAAGTGACCTTCTTCATCCACTCTTGCCTGGACGCTGTCCAGGTCCAGGTGAGAAGAGACGGGAAGCTGCTTCTGTCCCAGAATGTGGAGGGCATCCGGCAGTTCCAGCTGAGAGGAAAACCTAAAGCCAAGTACCTCGTCCGCCTGAAGGGAAACAAGAAAGGGGCTTCCGTGCTGAAGATCCTGGCGACCACAAGGCCCGGCAAGCAGTCCTTCCCCTCTCTGCCCGAAGACACGCGCATCAAAGCCTTTGACAGGCTCCGCACCTGCTCCTCGGCCACAGTGGCCTGGCTGGGCACGCAGGAGAGGAACAAGTTCTGCATCTACAGGAAAGAGGTGGACGACAACTACAGCGAAGACCAGAAGAAGAGAGAGCAGAACCAGTGCCTGGGACCGGACACCAGGCCCAAGTCGGAGAAGGTCCTCTGCAAGCACTTCCACAGTCAGAACCTGCAGAAGGCGGTGACCACAGAGACCGTCGGAGGTCTGCAGCCCGGCAAGTCCTACCTGCTGGACGTCTACGTCATCGGACACGGCGGGCACTCCGTGAAGTACCAGAGTAAAGTCGTCAAGACCAGGAAGCTCTGCTAGGTCCCGCGGGAGGGACCCCAAGTCACTTTACCTGTTGATTGACAGCTCCCACAGCCGAGAGAAGTCGTCACCTGTGCTTGTGCCACCGAAGGCAGGAGAGCCAGGGATACTGATGTTTACATAGCAGCAGAGAGACCTGCTCCAGCACCCCAGGTCACCTTGTGTGCGTCCGACATCACTGGACGTCAAAGACACAGCCCGCCTGGGAGAAACTGCCGCCCCTCGCTCTGTCCACTGCATGAACTGCTTCTAAATTATTTTATTACCTAAAAGTCTAAAGTACGCCATTCATTGCACACATCCACAAAGGCAAATCATCCCTCTCTATAGACGCTAGGAGATTTATATATATATATATATACACACATAAATTATTTTATAAAGTCTTGTTTCAAATGTCAGTGTTTCTATGATTGTAAACTATTAAATTCTTTTGCTGTTAAAGGACAGATCTAATCTAAGTATTCTTAAGTGGACAGCCCTCTAGTAATTTACATATTACTATTGTAAATTCTTATTTGTTGAGTAAAAGGTTTAAATTCTGTATGTATCTCATGTACAAAGTCGACACACATTATATTCGTGTACATAAAATTAAAGATATTAGATTATGTACTGTCCATTTTTCCCGAGCAGTGACTCTGATGTATCCAATTTCTAATCTGACTTTAAAATTGAGTCCTTCTGTAGTTTGACACTAAAATCGCCCACTTTTCAGTGATTAAAAGGGGATGCTGTGTCTCTACGGTTACACTGGCCCTAGAACAGCTATGAACGTGTGTGTTTGCACATTGAATGGCAGTCAGCAGTTGTGAGTGGTCAGAGCCACGAGCGCTTGAGTTAAAGGAACAGGAGCACCAAACCCTGTCACCTCACGAGCAGTCGTAGACGTTCCCATGATCCAGAGCACATCACATTTCAAAGTGCAGGACCAGGATGTCCCTAGCACCTTCCATCTGCCCGAGTCTTAGCAAAACAATCATTTTGACCTTTAGCTGATGCGACTTAGCAAACAGCAACTAGGACTTAGAGCAGAACACGTGTGCGTACGAAGCTGCTGGTTTTTGTGGGTTTTTCAAAAAGCAACTGGGTGTCAGATGCAATCTAGGCAGCTAATAGCGGAAACTGTTTATCCAATTCCACAGCAGGCAGTGCTAGGCGCCCGTGCTCCAGGGGTCTGTTCCCAAATCCCCAGGTGTCGCGGGGACCAAGAAGGGTCTGGAAGTCGCCGCGTCTGGCTGATCTGACTGCAGGGATTCTGTTACTGCCGTCATCTCCTTTTCCCATCCATAACCCCGGGGTGACAGATTTGAATGGTGGTGTTAGATGTCCTTTGCCATCTTTTGTAGAGTTCCCCCAGCTGATTAGAAGGTCCTAAGACCACAGTGGGGACAATGTGACCCTTCCCCTTCTCACTAACCCTGGTGCTGGCCCGGCCTTTCGGGTGCCATTTTCCTGAGCAGCATTCTGTAGGGTAGAATCATGACGCTACCGTGGTAGAGGTGGCGGTCCCTATGAGGGGTGCGCTGCCGGACAAAGGAGAAGATGTCCCCCAGGAAAGCCCAGAGGCACGCCAGTCCAGGAGATGGACACATCTGCACAACAGGATGGCACCCGAAGATTTCAAAGGATGAAGGTCACGTACCCAGGGTCACACAGGTAGCCCCAGAAGGAGAGACTCAAACTGACCACAACCCAGATGCAGTGCCTAAGTTGCAATCACGGGGCCTTGGGGGCAGGATCAGCCTCTCCAGTTCCTCACATGACTGACAGAGCCGGTGCTAATGCTGTGTGGTGAATCCACCCATTATCGCTGCTCCTGAGGGCGACAGCCTTAGCTCAATATTGCCTAATGACAGGGAAGCCCTGGGACCGGGCCGGGTCCAGGTAACCAAGCTTTTACTCTTCAGCCAGCGGCAATGGGGGTTTCTTCAGAGTCTGGATCAATGTGAGAATTCTCTCATGGCCCCAGTGAAATTTGCCATTTTTAAATCTTAGGAAAATGAAATGCACATTGTGAATTTCTATCATTGATGCATGGGTAAACCTAGCTCCTGTATTTACTAAAGTGCTTAGGTTTTAGGAAAATTCTGGTAAGCTAGAGGCAAGAAAGAAAAACTTGTTCTTAATTAACAAAAGAACTAGAAAAGGAAATCCCCAGCCTGACTGCCCGACCTGGCCTGGACAGTCTCCCAGCCCAGGAGGCCCATGCCACAGAGGAGGGAGGGTCTTCAGGACTTTGAGCTCACCTCCTGGCTATTCAAGTGCAAAAAAAAAAAAAAAGACCCAAGAGAGAAGTAAAACCTTCTCATACCAAACAGCTAAGTTGTGGCTTTGTCCAGACTCTGGCATCCTAACCAGAAGAGAAACCACCAATTATGTGTAAAGAAGAGTCATTTAGGTTTATTTTCCTAAAAGAAATAGACTTTTTGTGTCATTTATCATTTCCAGCCAACATATTCTTCGAGACCATTTCAGATTTCCTTAAGAATGTGTGTTGCCTGTAACGGACCACTTCAAATTTGTGAAAAAAAAAATGGCCATTTTGTTATTTTTAGAGACACAAAGTGTTTCTAATCTATGCGTCTATGCACACAAACTTGAGATAGTAAGATCATTAGTAAGATCATGGCTTTAATGATCAGCTCTGTTTCTGTGAATTGAAAACTTTCAGAATCGATAAACAGTTGTAGCAGATTATTTTCTAGATTAAATCACTCTATAATCATGTCTAGATTAATTTTTAAAACAGCCTTAAAGGATCAGGGTTAAAATGGATCATGCATTCTTGATTTTTGTTAGAACACATTGGAAAAAAATCATAACTTCAGGATCCCAAATAGCCAAAGGATGATCCCTCAATTTAAAAACTCAGAGATGCATTTCAGAGTTTGAGGAATGCTCGTGGGTTCTTCGTGTTCTGTGACCTCCTCTGAAACCACCCACACAGGCTTTGTTACACGGGTCAAGGGATCTGATGGACCTAAGGAGCCCAGGGTCCTTTCAACACCTCACCAATCGTTCCAGAACTTGTGGCTCTCCTGTCCCATTTTCCAGCTGGGGACACTGAAGCCTGCTTGATACCAGCTCCTGTGGTCCCATTCAGCGTGCCAGGACGTCGCGAAAGCACGTCTTCACTGTGGGCAGCCCACACAGCTTTCCCAGAGTTGCCTCCGCGCGCTGGTTGACGCTGAGTGAGACTCACATCTGACGGGTTGTCTGGAGACCTCCCCCGCGTGCCCGCTCTGACGTGGCGTGCCACAGATGAAGCCCTCGGGGAAATGCCCTTGGCTTCTGTCCCTAGGACTCTCTTGCATTGAACTGGGCTGAGGAACCAGGAGGCATCAGACACACTCAGCGTCCTGTTCTCCCCTGAGAATTCTGGCCGGAGCAGCACACCGTGCTGGGGGTGTGGGCCTCAGCTGCTGTTGTGAGAGGGGGAAGCCAAGAGAGGAGAGCAGACAGAGGACATGTATGTGCAGAGAGGCCCAGTTCATCTGCTCACTGTCTCTGAGAAGCCTGAGAGATGGAGAAAAGCAAGGGGTCTCACGCGGCCTGGCTTCATGAAGGCTTTGGATTCTGTCCTGCGTGCCCCTCAGGCGGGCAGTCCTGACCTGGAGCACCACCCTCTCCTGTAAAGCCCGAGACCCTTCCCATTTCCTGGGAGTGTTCCTCCCACATCTGGACACGATTTCCTTCCCTTCTCCTGACATTCCTCCTTCCCAGCCTCTGAGAAACAATCTTGGTAATCAAAATTTGGAATGTCTTTTTAGATCCACCCGTCTATCTCTTGAAAATGTATTTTAAAATATTCTTTTAAAGTGCAAAAGAAACAAAGGCTTTTGATTTCCAAAACAGTTGGCCCAAGCTTGAAGAGTTCAAGGTCTTAGGCTTGGTGACACTCTTGTCATTGTTTAGATTCCACCAGACACAGGCCGGGAGGAGGGGACAGTGCAGGGCAGGACACCAGGACCTGGGGAACACACCCACTAAAAACCGAACCAAGAAGGAGATAGCCACTGAGGCTCCCCCTCTGCTGTGCTGAGAGGACCTCGGGCAGGGGAGGTGGTCCTGGAACCTGAAAATGCAGGCTACAGATCTGAGCTAGCCTCCCGGGACAGAGCCACGTCCCTGCCTCCTTGAACCTGGGAGCCACTTCCAAATGGCAGTGGCCGTGTAGGAGCAGGAGAGCAGAGGTCGGAGCGGACCAGCCCTGGCTGTGGGTGGTGAGGTCCAGGCAGAACAGTCTGGGAAACACAAGGTCTTGCAGCAGAGAGCGGTGATCGAATGTGCGTTTCTTATTGTCAGTGTACGCCGCAGTTTTAGAATATTGCTCTCCTCTCTCCTCCCATGAATACCTGCCAAGAGTAATATCCAATCAGATTACTGTGAAATAAGCACATACCCACTTCTTGCCTGCAATTCCTTCCTGGTGCAATTCCTCCAACTGCATAAACAGGACAGCACAGAACAGAGGAATAGTCGTTTCAAGATCACTTCAAAACCCCCAGAATGTCCATATTTAGTCTAACTCTTGCAGCATTGTGCTCATGAGGAAAAGAAGTTCATAATAGACAGAACCAATTAGTACATAGCTGGCACAGAGGTGACACTGTTTCTGTCAGCTCTTCACTGCTGTGACCAAAAGACCTGACAAAAACGACGAGAAGGTGTTGGGGGCTCACAGTCTCAGGGATCTCAGTCCACAGATGGCTGACTCCATCCCCCAGGGCCTGAGGTGAGGCAGGACATCATGGCGGAGGTGCATGGCAGAGGAACGTGGCTGGGGACACGGAGCCAGGAAGCAGAGAGAGCTCTGCTCAACAAGGACAATATGTGCCCCAAAGGCACACCCCTGGGACCCACCTCCTCCAGCCACCTCCTACCTCCTACAACCACCACCCAGTTCATCCCATCGGTGATTAACTCACTGATCGGGATGAGGCTCTCATAACCGCGTCACTTCTCCTCTGAACCTTCTTGCATTGTGTCACCTGTGAGCTTTGGGGGACCCTCACATCCACACCGTAACAGACTGCTCACTCTCCTCCTTTCATAAGATGTTCTCTGACTTAGCACAGGAGCTGACATGTGGGCTACTCAGCGGGTCGGCTGATTCAGGCAGGAGTTAGAAGCACTCACTGCCCAGGAGATAGGGGAGTGCCTCGTGGCCTCTGCAGGTCCACACCCCAGGACCGGGTCAACTGATTCCACAGGGACAGCAACAGACAGCTTGGTCTCTGGGCCATCGGGGAAGGGGACCCACACAGCCACACGTGTGGCCTTTTTGCCCTGATGGAGTTCCCATGCATCAAGCAGCTGTGAGGAGCCCAGCACATCCATGTTTCCTGCTTTTTCTGGTTGTAGTAACAACTCCAAGTGGGCGGTACACACACATAAACAATATTTAAATAGCAAAGTAAAATTCAACCCATGTTATAATGGCAAAATGTCGTTTTCAAAACATTTTTTAAAAACTCCTATGGTCGACCACTCTTAGATGACAGTTGTGTCTCCTGCCCGCTGAGTGAAGGCTGCCGATCTTCCTCAGATAAAGGAAGAATGCACAATCATGAGCTCCTCTGAGGTGTCCCTGGGTGATCTTCAGCTG